TTTTTTTTTTTTTATAAGTTATTGTTATTGCGTATATAAAAAACCTCGAATGCTGTGGGTGGGACTCGAACCCACATCGGCGACGTATCTCCCCGCAGGTGATGAGGAAAGGAGGCAAGAAATGAATCTCGCAAAGGGCATACGAGGTTTCGAACGGAGCACTTTAAAAGCGTCCCCGCAAAAAATCCTCTAAATATAAGCATCGAGTGCTACCATTGCACCACCGCAGCAGCGAACATAATTGCGTTTTAGAAAATATATATCGTGTTTTTTTGCGGACAGCTTCTCAACCGCCTGCGAAAATGCGCATGCGTGCGGGCCTCTGCAGCAGGGGCGCATGAGGCGGCGCGCCACGTAGCGCTGATGCTTTCATCACAATGCTTCAGTCGAGCGAGTGCGCGACCACGCGCGCGCGCACGCGCACCCAAATCGAGACTCATCGCGCGCGTCTTACACCAATTAACATGCATTTGCACGCGCCTGATTTACGCGCGCGGCGCATACACATCACATGCAAGAGCAATCGCGGCGAGAGCTACCGCGGCATCTTTTGAAGGCTCTCGCAAAGCGCCTCCAAGAGGTTCGACGCAACAAGCCACTGTGGTTGGGCCTCCAACTTGCGCCTAAAGACCTTGTACCAGTGACCCAAGGGTAGAGTCAGTGCGCGCTCCAGAGAGATGCTAGCCACCCAAAAGTGCTTCTTGTGCAGCATCATGCACAAGGGCGCCGCGTTACAGATCTGCTCCATGAGCCCAGGCATCGCTAGCACTGGTGCGTGCAGCGTTCCACGGAGGCTACCAACGCTGTCGTCCCACACCAAGATGACCACAAGCCGCGCCATGACGGTTGCTGCAAGAGCAGGCTCCCATCCACTTGCGTCGAACCAGGCATCTTCCTCAACGAGCGGCGTTTCGGTCCGCGTGAGACGGCCAGCGGTCAACGTCGTCGAGCTGGGATCGACGGCCGTCCAAAATTCGCGATGCGTCGAAAGGTGCTGATGCATTTGTTGGCGCATCTCTGCGTACCTCTCCTCGCTCCCAAGGTGATGCAGCGCCAATGCCCGATAACCGCACTGGCCGTCTGCCTTTACTGGAGTCAGTGATGGGCCCACCCCGCATGCTTGGAGAGCGCTGGCAAGGCGCGCATCAATGACTCTGCCAAGCACCCCAGCGATTTGGCCCCATCCTCGCTGGTCGATCGTCGTCCAATTCTTGAATGCCGCGATGACCGTGACGTAGATGCGGTCAGCTGAGACCTCGGACGCAGGCCCACCACCGACGCTGAAATACACCAGCTCGACTTGCGCGTGCTGTTCTGAAGCTGCAATAAATAATGCACTTGGACCGTACCGCACGTGCGCGAGGAAGGGGTATCGTTCCACATCCGCTGAGGGAAAGACCGCTTCATGGGCAGGATCGCCGCTTGTGTTGACGGCCGCAGCGAGTGCCTTTGAGACCATCTTGTCCCCCTTCATCTCCTGCAGCCGACGCAGCGCCTCTTGCAAGGAGATGCGCATCCTAGTCCCTGATGGTCTAGAGAATGTCACCGTCGTGTTGTCAGGCGTCCAACAGTGATAGGCGCAATACGGATGACCCAGCATGGCACGCAGCTTGAGCGTCCCCTGCACAGAGCTGCCAAGAGCGCAACGCCCAGCGATGCAGGCTGCTGCCCAGATGACCAGATATCTAGGACAGCGCACGCGATGAGCTAGCTTTGCGTGGTCTTTCTCGAATGCCACCGCATAGTCCCAAATTTCGCCATAGTGACGCAGCTCTTTTCCCTCCTTCTTGGCCCGCTTGCTGATCGCAAATGCTGGCGACGCTGCTCGCTTGAGGTCTGCCGTCACGGTCGCGGAAGGACTGCTGCGTGAGTCTCTGGCTGTGGTGCCGCTGTTTGATGCGCTAGATGTCGTTAGGATCCCCTCCAAGCGCGACGGTCCAGCAACATCTCCGCGATCGTCAAGAGCATCCTACACAGCAGCAAGAGGTAAGTCAAGGCGCATACAGGCGCATGCGGCCACGCGCGCGTGCCGTCTTGCTAACCTCGAGGGACTGCACAAATCTCTTTTCCACCGCGTAATCGTACGGCAGAATGTTGCTGCGTTGCAAAATCAGGACGTCGGAGGAGGGTAGCATACACGTTGCGAAAGCCTGGCCACCATCGACGCGGTACATGCCAGGTTTTTCACGAAGCTCCGTGATCTGACGGAGGGTGCCCGACTGCTCAGCTTCGTGCAGGCAACTCGTTTTGACGCGGAACTCACTGGACAGCACAGAGACGACATGATGGCGAGTATCCGAGCAACGCAATGTGACGGTCATGGTCGACAAAGAAGGGCTACAAAGGATACATCTGAGCGAATCATGAAGCGAGCGCGAGCGACCATCGCGCGCTTCATGGCTAGACCCGATCGACGGCAGAGTCACGAATGCTTGATCGGCGAATTGCATCGGGCCAGGAACCGCGCCAGAGTGGTAGGTATAGGAATGGCAATCCTTCGACGCTTATATTCGATATTAGCCGCTATATTAGATATGAGCCGCTATGTTAGATATTAGCCGCAGCCGCCCGCGCGCCCACCGCGCGCCCGCGCTGCTGGTACACCCTCACTGCCTGTCGAGCAAGCCACGTCAACGCGACATTTGCGGCGAGCAATGGTGCCGGGCGTGCGTGCGTGCGTGCGTGCGTGCGTGCTCGCAGGCCGCGCAGAAGTCATGACTTTGACATGGTCGTGAGGCGCCAGAAGACGACCCCTTTAGTCTGTATAGCACACTCCACGCACGCGGTTGACCGCGGCAATCATGTTTCAGATGTGGGCGCTCAAAGTTGTCCATACGCATCATCCAGGCTCCAGAGCAGTCGCGAGTCACAAGTCACGACTCGCGAGTAGCGAGTTCATGCTGACGAGCGCAGCACCAAAAGAGAGGTGAGCACGCGAGTTGACGTGTACGTCGACGAAGCGACAAGAAACTTTTTGCTTCTCTATCATCACCCCAAACGCCGCATCGTAC